AAAATACACATCAAGTTTCTTGATAAGTTACAGCTATAGTTAATTTAAATTTCTTCCAAGCAATACAATATGTTTTCATTTACTCTTTATTTCAACAATTCGATTTTATGACAAACGATTTCCCTGTAAAGTATACCCCTAACCTGCGGCCAACGTTGCACTGTGATATCTAATTCACGCATTGATTACACTACTCGGCGTTCCATACAATAACCTTTATTTGGACATTTAATATCTCGCAACCGAGCTGGTGCGCGGCCGAACCGGACGTCATTCCTGGTAAACCTTAATATATATTATTAGAATCTTTATGATTGTAGGTGTAGATAGGATAACATTATTCTTATTATGATTTCGTATCAATACTGGCAGTCGGCAGTTCGATACACATTTTTAGTTGTTTATTACTGCTTATTCATTCTGCACCGATCATATTTTTTAGATCACGCTAAATAGCCTGAAATACTTGCTACTGTGGGCTGCATTGTCCACTTGGTAATAGGTCAGGTTATTTAGGTTAGCCTAGCTATAGTTTTCGGTTCTTTTGGAATGTGATCTATGTCTGGTGTGTGTAAATTGACAGGGATGGGAAGTTATTCCACCATAACCGCAACATTAGACTGATTTCATCGTGTTTCGATGCCACGAGGCGCCCCAGCGTTAGCCAATCATTGCAGCGCTCTGGCTCACTGCTCTCGCTTGGCTGTGTCCAGGTCACTGATCTCTACTATGATAGCTGAATTGCTCATTGGCTGGTTTTAGTGAGGCCACCGACGCCATGTTGGGAGGCCTAAGTGACGCATCATTTTAGACAAATTTCTTTTGGCATTTGTTTAAATTATTGTTAAAAATAACGATTCTTGCAAAACTTTTTAAAAATAAATTTGAATTTAAAGTAATGATTATTATCATCTATCTACTTGATGTGACTTTTTATGCAGTTTAAGAAAGTGCAAGCGAAGTATAACAGCGCGACTTTGCTTGCGCCTTTGAAAACTGCGTAAACAGTTGCGTCTAGTGGTTAGATGGTTTGAAAAAAATTCCTATGTTAAATTTAAATTATTATTGGAAAGTATTGCGAGAATCGTCATTTAACTATAATTTAAACAAATGCCAAAAATAAACTTTTCTAAATTGGTACGTCACTTAGCAGGCCCGTAGCAGCTTCAGCCAAGGGGGGGGGGTTCAGGGGCCAAAGGGCGAAGCCCTTGTGAGGGCCAGGGGACCTTTAAAAGCATGTATATGGCATATGTATTTAAATACTTGCAGGCTGGGTCTTCCTCTTAATAATGATACATTAACTTCTTTTTCTACACAGGATTTCAAGACCGTTGTCAACAACACAGTAAAAACATACAATGTAATTAAGTAAATTTGAACATTAATATTTATTATAACAACAAAGAGAATTTTTATTTCCTAGAAATCAATCACAATACATAAGCAGCCTATCATTATACTGACTGTATAACTACTGTAAATATAACTTGGATACGGTGTTCATGCAATCAATTAACTGTACCAACACAGTTTCCTTATGAAATTTCATAAATATATAACACCACCATTCAAGGACTTGAAAGCAGAAGTAACTGCACTAAAACAGTCATTGCATCTTAAGATATAACCAAAATAACTTATAATTAAAGTTATATACAGTGAAGTTATATAGAGTGAAAATAAACAATAATGTAAAGTTGTCTGTTAAAATGAAAAATATTGCAAGAAATAAATTTAATAATAATGTTGTTATATGTATATATATATATTACACCACCATTTATACAAAAATTTGAAAGCAGGAGTAACTAGACTGAAACAGACATGGTGATTTTAGTCCATACTTCAGCGGCTGACATTGTAGCATTAATCAGCAAACCGATGTCATTAATCAGAGCTGCATCTGCGTTAACAGGAGCTGGTATTTCGTTTGGTTCTTCCTCAACTGGCCTCTCATCGTCAAATAGTTCACTAAACAATAAGAAAAGAATAAAATATACTTCACATTAAGATTATCAAACTTTTTTGCTGGTATTATTACTAATGAATCACGAGTCTACATACCAAGCAACCTGAGCATCTTATATTAGATGGATATGTGCGCTATATAAGACTACCCTATTATTATTATTTATTATTATTACTAATAACTAGAAACAAACTAACACAGAAAAATCCAAATAATTAATTAATAATAAAACGTATTTAGGATGGTTAGGCCGAAAAACAAAACTATGTTTAAACTGGCAATATACTACTAAACAGTGTACTATAACAACAAGGTTTTTGGTTAATTAATTGGGTAACAATAATAAGGCAATTCATTGAGGGTTTATATTACATAACATAGCCTAGTAGGCAAAACAATAACCAAGATACACGGCTGTGATAAGAAAAACAGTTGCTACAAATAAATTTTTATGATGATCCTCTAGCCTATTACCACCTAGGCCTTAACAAGACGAAGTAGTATGCTAGGCGAATATTTACCATGTACACATTCGCGTCACTGTTTATGGATCATTCAACAATGCTACCATTCGAAGGACAAGAGATGAAGAGGAGAGAGGGAAACCTAATTAGTAAGATTGGAGGACTGCCTAGCCTAGGCCTAGCCCCGCAGTACCTGTCAAACCTACCTCAAATTGAGACTGCTTCGTCGTTGGCGTCTTCGAGAAGAAATCTGTAATCCTCTCCCGACGCTTCATTTTTTTGGAAAACAAATTTCAGACAAGCCTTTTATTTTTAAAGGTGTTTTGTCTTTTCCTGCGTGTGGTGTAATTAACGTCCGCGTGTGTCAGGAAGTTCCAACAAGCGCGAAAACTCCCCTCTCATTGTGATCGGGAAACTTTATTCCCAAAACAATACAATGCCGCGTGATTGGTTAACAGCGGTTTGACAACAAAACCCTCATAAATATTCACGCTTCGTACTGCCTCGGAAACACGATCTCTGCTGGTGGTTGATTACTGGGGAGACCCAACAGTTATTTTTAGCTTGGTTGCTGACTGCGTTAACCACGATAATTCGCCCATGTTCTATTCTCAAGCAGCTACTGTTTTCAGGCTGGTTGGCTTGTCTTGTTCTCAAAACCCAAGACCAAATTGGGATATACAAATTTTTCTTGGGCATTTAAGTTGTACTTCTATGGAGCTGCTTTTTCCCTCCTTGGATTATTTTTGTTCTCACTGTTGGTTGGAACATTTATGTTACTAAACACTATGCAGTACTTACCAATTACAATGCAGTAGAATATTGTGCAATTTATACCGCCACCTATTGACAACATTGAATATCACGTGACGTTTATTAGATGGTTGTAAAAGCAAGTCTATTAAAACTTTCATTAGTTACGCAACCTCCGAAGACCGAAGACCCAGAAACGAAAACCCTTATTTTTTCTCTTTCATTTTGATGATAATACGCCAGGCTCTCACAAAATCAAAATTACGAAAAATTTTTGGCCGTCTGTTTTCAAGGGTCTTCGTTTTGTAGACACCAGGTGTCTACAAAACAAGACCGAAGACCAGAAAAACATTTTTTTTTCTCTCAATCTTTTTTAATCACTTCATGCTATGTATATATAGCACTCGTCTTTTTAACACATTATTGCCTGAATCCGAGTCAATTTAATGATTTACTCTTTCCAGTTCCAATGCGGCAACCAATGTTGTATGTCCATGGCTGGTGGCAAAGCGCGTCTTGGTGCTGTTACCCTCTAAACAAAAGTAAGGCTTGGCCTAGCGTAATATTTATTGATTCTAAATTATTTAAGTGTTAACAATTAATCCACATACAGTAGTTGTACTAGGACAGATCATACCAAAAACACCCTGTACACAACTACTAATCTGCTTGCGCACAGGTTTCCCTGCAGCGTGGACTGGTGTGGATCAGATTACGCAACCTGAATTCAGGCACAAACGACGTCACAACGCAAGGACATACAAATCCATAAATTACTTAATGAAGCCGACATTTTTCAGATTCCAAATTTGGCACATCTTTTTATTAGTTAATGATGATCCTAAAACGTCATATTCCAGCTATATTTCACACATCCTCTAAACCTGAGTGAATTCTATTTAACTCGGGTTTTTAGATGAGATGTATTCGTCATGGACAAAATTTGAAGCAGTAGCTGCACTACAGGGGAAATCTCCCTCAATTTTTCCCACCCCAATCATATTAATCACTTTAGTGAAGTTAATGCAGGGTATACGCTTTAATCCGGTAGTGAGTTTATCACGATCAATACCAGCAATGTGTTAATTTTAAATTATATCTTAATTTAAATTGTATCTGTGGTCTGCTATGGAAAAACATATTTCCCCCTAAAATTTTACCTTGTTAGGTAAAAAAGTTCTGTTAGGGTAGAGTATTCGTGTCATTAGGATGTTAGTGGAATAGCGCCACCATCCCATGATGCAAAGTTTGGTTAGGATAGGGGTATTCGGGTCGCAGTTGAATAATGTCCCTGCCACATGATGCATAGTTTGGTTGGGTTTCTTTGATTTTGTGAGAACAAAACATGTTCCAATAAATTTCCTCTTGGATGACATAAAATGTGACCGGTTCTGGCAAAACCAGCCGTGTGCAGGAAAAATTGAGTTTTTAGTAGTTTTAGATACAAGTACACATATCTATGAAGTCTTCTTTAAAACCGTGTTTATTCGATGGAAATTGGAGTAGTGAATGAATATAGGATAACAGTCATGTAGGTTCTAAAAAAACAGCTTCCAAAAATTCCAAAATCAATGGTTTATTATTAAGATTTGTGTTTTAAAAATAATTTTAATTCTGTATACTTTTCAGTTCGATTTTGTGAATGATAATTTGCAGAAATGTTCTTCAATATATCTTCTTTTATAAAATGCAAAAACATGAAAATGTTCAAAATTCTGATTCTCAAACTTTTTGGGTGCTTGTGGGAAATTAGAAATTGCGACAAACGGAGGGTTTTGCCAGAGCTTGGTCACAAATATATATATATCGTATACCTTGGCTTTCATGTGGAAGGAAGTAAGTTGATGGAAGGTTGTTTGTGCTACTGGTTACCCCTAATTTAGACTTGGCTCTTTCAATGATTCCACAGTACTGGACTTCATCTAGTTACAAAGAAATATATATTGCAATTGTTATACAATTAGGCAACACTTTTTTTTTATACCTTGTTCCACAAGTCAGAGGGCGAAAAAATTTTTTTTTTTTTTTCTTATTTATAGTTTTGCCAAAAACATCCAGATGGAGGAGAAAATGAAATTATAATTTTATTGGCAAATGTAAATGTGTCACTCGTTGCAAAAATCAATTTTGAGTTTTTATACATGGTTAAAGAGTAAAATAAGAGCTGTAAAATGGTAAAAAAAATAATTCAAATCCGATATTCCCTTAAGAAGTTACAAGTGTAATAAGCATACAGCTGTTTAAAGAATGATATATGAGAAATCCTGTAAGTGTTGTTTTAATTACATGGAAAATGGGGGAAATAATAGCATAGAATGATGTATAGATAAATAAAGGTTATCTTATTTTTGGAAATTTCAAGGCAGTGGCGGCATAATAAAAATAAAGAAAAACTTTTATATATTTTTCTGGAATTCCATTTTTTCGAGGTGGCAGGTGCCAAAAACATAATTTCATTTTTATTCAAAATCATTGTTATTGGCAGGCGGCAGGTTTCGCTAAAGAAGGTATAAAAAGTGTCACCTTAATTCTGAAAAAAAAAATGTAGGTGGATATTAGGCCAGTGATGGCATTTAAAGCACAATAAAGTAGAATTGAATTATACTATTTCATTTGAATGTGATAAAACATTGTTCTTTTTTTTATGTTACCAATGGACATATAGCTTTGGCCTTGTGGTTGTCTTCCAGTCCCAAAAGTTACATTTTGCTTCAAATACCTAGTTTGGAGCAGTAGTTTCCGTAAAATATATTCCACTTATAGCCACAATCCTGGAAAAACTTCATTTTTTTTTTAAAAACCTGATTTTTATATAGACCATTTTATCGGATTTATTTTGAAACAGCGCTGCCAACTTCTCGCAACTCGCTCAGGGACTTCCAGAGCTGGCTAGAAGTTACGAGCACCGAGCAGAGGATAGTGCGCTACCCTTGCCATAATAGCAGCAGTAAACAACAGATACGATCTTGCTACAATAATTACTGTAATTACTATACATGTAAACATTGAAATAGACTTAGACTTGCTTGTAATATATACATTTCGTGTTTTATTTCTTTTGTTTTAAAATGTTTGTGCTCGTTAGCAATTTAGTTTTATCGTTGATTTATCCATGATAGTAACTACGTACCGTGAAATGCTAGGCCTCTGAAAGTCCCCCAGTGGTAGTTGCCAGGTTATTGGAAATGTTCATTTCAAATTTCACAAAAATTTAACTGAATTTAGACATTAAACATGAAAAAATGCAAAATAAGACTTAAATTTTAATTTTTTTGTGTTCCACACAAAAAATAAACGTGGATACATTTTTTGTTTGATTTTGCAATAGGTGTATCAAAATATAGCAGGGTGCCGAAAACATTAGCCTAGCAACACAGGCTAGACCTTGCCTTACCTACACAACTTTGTTTTTACTTAAAAATAGAAAAAAAAAAAACTTGCATCACCATATTGGTGTTTTTCACACGGCCGTTTTTGCAAGAAGATACAAATAAAAAATCAAATTGAAATACATACTCTACAAAAAAAAGTAAAAATCTAAAATGATGAAGACTAAAGAGCAATGTCATGACAATGTTAAACAAAGTTTTTTGTTAATTATTTAAAATATTTAATCATGTCAGTTATTTATTAGTTTTTTTCTTTTTTACTTAGGTTATCACACATAAAATACAACTAAATTGATATTTTCCATTACTAGTGTTGACACTTGTATTTCAAACTTGTTAAAAATGATTCTGACCGAGATGTGGACAAATACAAAGTTATCTCAGGCCAACTCTATCAACAGCAGTGTGCGAGATGCAAGGTACAAAAACTAATTGCCGTTTTGCTGTTTTGTCCAAGGAGCGTCCTTTATTATGTGGCGTTCCACAGGGTTCAGTGCTTGGACCTCGGCTATTTTCCATCTATTTGACACCTATTGCCGAAATAATTTTAAAACATGGATTATGTCATCATTTTTATGCTGACGGTGTACAGATTTTCCATAGGCTTGATATGGGCAATGCCTTGCTGTTTGGTTTGCCAAAGAAGCAGTTCCGATCTCTCCAAAAGATTCAAAATTGGGCATCTTGCTTGGTGAAGTGTGCCAAAAGATTTGAACATGTGACACCAATGTTGAAAGATTCGCATTGGCTCCCTGTGGAATCACGCATAAAATTTAAGACCTTCCTTCTAGTTTAACGCTGCCTGAATGGCTCTGCTCCAAAATATATCTCCACCTTGCTTAACATCAAAGAGAGTAGGCAAGTACTAAGATCCAGCCAATAAGTGCTCCTGGACATCCCAAGGAGCAAACATAGCTGGGGAGATCAGGCTTTCAGCACTGCTGGACCAAGGCTCTGGAATAAACTTCCTCTAAAAATTAGACAATCACCTTCTCTTGACAGTTTTAAGTCGCAACTCAAGATGCACCTTTTTAAAAAAATCTTTTTTGGAACGGCACCATGAGCAACGACTGTTGGAATTGATTGAATGATTGATTGCAAGAAGGTCATAAAGCAAAGTTTTGTCAAGACTGAAAACCTGGGTAAGAAGATAATGCCGATAATGGACCTAACAAATTAGAGAAAAATAAACATAATGGCAGGAATAAAAACAAATATTTGTCAAAAGTCACTGGTAAATGTGGCGAATGTCTAAAAAACATTTGTATTGTTTGCATTTTTATCTGTGAGGTCGAACAAACTTCGAACACAGAGTCAGTTTGAGCGCATCGCGTCAGTTTGAGTGCATCACATCAGTTTGAGCGCACAGCATCTTCAAAATGAATCCAGTTTGTATTTTTGAGGTTAAAAAACCTTGTTTATTTTTGCGCAAATATGTGAAATCATACATTGTCTTCAGTCACAGTAGTTTACTGGTGAGTTTGTGATCGTAATTGATATAAATAAGTTTCATAAAAAATTAAGATTTTATGACATTTGAAGATTTTGATTAAGAATGCTGTGAAGATTTTATGACATTTGAAGATTTTGATTAAGAATGCTGTAGCTAAGGAAGGTGATGCCGAAATCTGTTGTTGTTTTAAGGAAATGTGGCATTAATTAAACCTAGCTCTGACTTCCTTTCCTCATATTAACATGAACTTATGGTTGTGATGATACGTTTTGATGTAAAATAGGCATCTTATACTGTATGTACTTTATGTTACAATGTTTAGAATTATTTACAGATTGTGTAATTCATTGAAATGTTAATGCATAAATATTATGTTATTTATGCCTAGAAATTCACGATTGAATTTGAGTTCTTGAGACTCCCGCTATGCAGGAGTTGTGAGCATGAGTCACGCTCGGTGACCATTTAACTTATAAATAATTCTTGATCAGTTTTACAGCACTGCCTATCACATTTGAGTATGTTAAAGCGTTGAATATCTCAGCCTCACTCTGAAATTGATATACAGTCGAGTTCGCCAAAGTCGAAAATTCGCGTCAGTCGAATTTTTGAAAAAGTCCCAATTCTTTCCTATGTATAACTGTGTAAATTGTTTGTTTAATTCGAATTGTTATAACTCGAATTTCGGCTATATCGACGGAATTTTCCGGTCCGGATAGGCCAATTTTAAAGTAATTTCAACCACACAAGTCGAAGTTCCAAATTTTGTAGCGCACGTGGGAAAATACACAGCCGTGGGAAAATACAAAGTTCAATCCTTGTTGTACGGCAACAAGTTAGCCAAGTCAAAACTAACATCTCAGCCCTTGGGAATTGATGGGGAGACACTAATTTTGAGTGCGGGATGGAGAATGAAGTGGGCATAAATGGCAAATGAGGTGATTTTAAACTAATTTCGTGTAATATCTTGCTCAGTCAATTTCCATGGATAAATCACAAGCTTCTTCCGTGCGAGGACAACTGACAAGAAACAGAGCAAGAATAGTACTGTATTTCGAAATTTAAATAGCAAGGGAAAATGATTATTAAAGGCGATGTAATAAATAATTTGGAATAAACAATGATGATGACGAGCTACAGAAAAAGGCCTTGAACCAAGAACGAAATCAACTATGAATAAATAATTTAGTCTGATCCAATTATTTATTTAAAACCCTAATGTGATTCTGGTTCTAAAATCCATTTCAATTCTTTTTTACATCCATTGGAGTGGGATGAAAACTACTTTGAGGAGATAAAAATGACAAATTACGGGAAAACCAGTTCGAGTGTCAATGGATGATTATATACATCATTATATATCCGGGGGGGGGGGGGGGGGGGGGTTTGTTCTTTTTTTTTTTGGGGTCACTTGTCAGTTTTTTTTTTATTTAAAAAATGCCTCGCCTAAATCGTTATTTAAACCGTTTTTTTTTTTATTTAAGGAAAGACTCACCTAAATTGTTATTTAAACCAGGCTAAAAACATTGTTTCCCAAATTTATTAGCTGTTGATTTTATTGCTCACACCCCCCATCATTCCACAGCCCAGAAGAGAAGCACATGTTTCGTTGCTTCGCTGAAATGATAAGACTCTACCATTAAAATGTAGGGTAATATAATATAATTAATTTCAAAAACAAAGTTTTTCTAATTAATCAAACTGTACTACTAAAAACGCTTGAAGGACACTTATATGCTGCTGAATTTCCATTATATTTTCAAATTGCACGTGAAATTTCCCACTGTAGTTGTTATATAATTGTTGGTATACACGGCCTTATTAGTGGACTTGAAACGTCCTGTTCAATGCAGCAGAGAATAATAATAATATGTCGGTCTTAGATGTACAATGTTTGCATTAATGTGATGAAATGTTTTTATAACTACAGTAATAGAGAAATCATTATATTTCCCCCCTCTTCAGTTTATATGCACCAAACCAGGGGTGGTCCACAGATCCCTTAAAAAAGAGGGGTAGAAAAGTACATAAAAAAGCACAGTACTCTAAACCAGTTTATTTTCGATTTAAATTCCATGTACATTCCTCTCCGTGTCTATGGCCAACACCACCCCCAGTTCAGCGCTGCACATCACATCCCCCAGAATATTCTCTGGATCCACCCTGTGCACAAGGCTGGGAGAAGCATGGCGGCTATATCTCCATGTTCATGATACATGTCCCAACTAGCTGCAATACGTGGACTGGATAGCTTATAACTGAATCTAATTAAGTTAAACAGCATACAGTATCATAGATCGTCATCGAATGGAAGAGGATGAAAAACATTCCTGTCAAATTTGAAAGGGTGAAAATAAATATAACACAAAGAAAGTAGATAAAACTGTACTTTATTTCTGTATAAACATATAGGCGAACAATCCATCGCCTGCATTTGACATCTTATGACCTACTTCTGTCCTTGCTCCGCAATACATTCGTTTGGCGGCGTACAAAGACCTTTTGGCTGGCAGCCAGTTTTGTCCAAGTTACTTACGACGAACATGAGTGAATTATGTTATGCAACTGTTTTAGAAACCAGTTTATAATTCCCATAGTAAAAAAAACAAATGTGCAAGAATTATTTCGTAGAGGTAACTACTGTAGGCCTATGTACTGATTAGCGGAATTCACGAGGCAGTAAAAAGGGTATACGAAGCTCAATAAAATTATCACCATCTCTTATGGGGAGTCATTGTTATTATCACAGACCGTCTGTGTTATTATCAACGTAACTAGACTTAAGCCTAATCAGTATGCGGCTAGCTGGGTGCGCGCTAGCGGAGTACGGTATGAACAATTGTTTCATCTGTCTATAGAAAAATGGAACATTCCAAGAAATAATCCCAACGTGTTGCCGACGACCGGTGATTACAGAACTAATCACTGCGCGTGGTCCACAGGTATATGCGTTGACATATTTTGAGAGGCTCCCTTAATTGGTTCTACTATTTTAAATGATTTCCCTGATAATGAAATTAGGGATGATACTGTATTGATATTATTGAAAAATATGGTGTGCGAAAGAGCCTAGTGGCAATTGCGGTGCTAAACTTGAAAATTCAGATATACTGGCCAATCTGGACAGTAAATTAATGCACTTAAAATAATCAGGAAAAGTCAGAACTGAAAGGCAGAGTATGATTGCTTATTTCCTGATGTTCCAGGAGAAAAAACTAATGTTTTCCATGGCATGATGATCTTTGAAAATGTATCTCCTATACTAACCCACTGAAGGAAGAACTAATGCAGAAAGAAGAACTACATGTTAAAACATGGCATTATTACACATAGTACCAGTGAATGGTCATTGCCATGCCTATTGGTACCCAAAGCAGACAAGAAATGGTTCCGATTTTGTATGGATTACCGAAAAGTTAACCAGGTCACCAAAACCGACTCATATCCTTTACCAAGAATAGAAGACTGTATTGACAAAGTTGGTAGTTCCACTTATGTTAGCACCCTGGATCTCATAAAAGGATACTGGCAGATTGCCCTGACTGACCGTGCAAAGGAAGTGTGTGCATTTACGACGTATGCCATTTAGCATGAAAAACGCTCTGCCACGATTTCAAAGAGCTGTCAATGAAATCATCCAAGTTGTTGATGGATGTGACGCCTACAGCTTATTGATGACATCATTATTTATACAGATAACTGGCAAGACCACTTGTGCACGATGCGCAACCTTTTTGAGAGACCGAGTGCACGAAATATAACTGTCAACCTTGTTAAGTGTGAATTTGGCCATGGGACAGTCACCTACCTTGGTCATGTAGTTGAAAGCCGAACTATAAAACCTGATAATGCTAAAATTGAAGCGATAAATAGTTTCATGGTTCACAAGAACAAGAAACAACTAACACGGTTCCTGGGAATGGACGGTTATTATCGCAAATTCTGTGAAAATTTCTCAGCCATCGCAGCACCACTGACCAATTCACTAATGAAGAGAGCAAAGTTTGACTGGACAAAGGATTGTGATCTTGCATTTGAACAAATCAAAGCATTACTTATGTATGGACCAATACTGAATGTTTTGAAAAACAGTTTAAAATTTTTGTTGCCAGTGACTTGGAAGCAGGAGCTGTATTAATGTAACGTGGGAAAGATGAACTTGATCACCCCATTTGCTATTATTCGATGAAATTTAACCAACATCAGAAAAACTATTCAACCATAGAAAAGGTGTGCCTAGCTTAAGTACTTACTTACTAGAGCTTACTAAATCTGTATAATTTTTGATAATTAATGTTGTAGTAAACACAAATATTTGAGTACAAACTTTATTTTGCCTGGATGGGGTGTGTTACATCCTTGGCCATTTTAACTTAATTTCTTTATATTAATATTATGTATTATAGATTCACTACTTTTACTTAACTTTTTCATCGGAAGTGAATTTCCCTTATTTTAATTTGTTTTACCATTAACGTATTACCAAGAAATAGTTACCTTTGTACAGCATTGAACCAAGTAATTTCCTGAAGCTGTGGTCAAATTTTAATGACCACCATGGTAACTGCTAAGTTGTAAATCTTTGTCAATCTATGGAATTATAATGTGGTTTCTAATCATGTGAACTGAATAATTTCAGTTGGTCGAGCAATTATATTTATGACTTAATTAATTATGTGTCTGTGACACTTTATTACAGCCCATAAGTGGCTGATTGTTTAATTAAACTGTTGCTATGTGGTCCTGATTGGACAGGAATACGAATATGCAAAGTTAAACACCCTTTTTCTAAGAGTTTCTACCCAAGTAGTTTTAGTTGTAATTTCGGATTTCCAGTGAAGACAACTCAATATATTTATTTCTACTATTTTGTCTGACTTCAGTTTTCCCTGCACTTTGACATGCATTTACTATTATCTGCTTTAGCTTTGACCACCACCAATTACTAAATTTGTTTCATGTATTTCTTTAATTAAGGTTTCATTGTAAATATATTTATTATTTTTAAATATCACAAAAGTCTTGATTTCTTTCTGTTTGATCATTTTAAGCCGGTATCTAACATGCTTTAAATCATCATCATCATCATTTATTTAAGTCAGTTTTCTTCCCTCTTCCAAGGGGTT